GCATTTTGTTCTTCACCTAACATAAAAATATAGCTTTAAATATTTAATGACTTATATTTAAATCATCTTACCTTATAAAAAACTTAGTCAAATAAAACAATTACAGAAATATTAAAATAAATCACTTCGTTAATCACAAAATTGGACGAATATTAAAAGCGAAAACTAAACACGTGCACACCCTGCTCTATGTAAACAGAGAGGTCAGGACTCGTGCTGACGTCACTAACTTGCCATTCCTGGCTAACATTGTAGAATAGGGATCTGGCTATCCTTGTAGTATATAGTCCTTGAGTCAGGACAAGTAATTTTATATATTTAGATTGATATGGCTAAGTCGCATATTTACATGGATAGTGCTGTAAATTGGGTTGACAAGAGATAATACATTACAAAATTTAGCATTAAGAACATTGAAGAATCTAGTAGATGTAAACTCAGTGGGTGTTATGTGCATATGCACAGTACGGTCAAATCGCAGGTTGAACAAATTGGGCGAGTAGCCGCCTACCTTAAATGATATCAGCCAGTCTATCATTGGTTCAGATGTGAGATGTGGCCGTGTCACTCATCTCGCTGGCTATTGGAATTCATGGGCCTGAGTTTTTTTGTATTGCGTATGAAATTCTTCATTTTTGTCCATAGTTTTTTATTATCAAGAATGTCTGCAGGATTGGGGGCCCAGTTGAGTCCTGTTTGGAGACATTCTTTGAAGAGTTCTGCACGTTGTTGGTTGTATTTGTTGCAGCCGAAGAGAAAATATAGCGCATTGTCTTCACTCTGTCCATCACAATTGCAGGTGCTATCGATCTGCTTACCAAAACGGTGCAGGTATGATGCAAAGTTCCCATGTCCTGTAAGGCATTGGGTCACCTCTGCATCTAGGCTGAAGTATTTGGCTTTTTTAAGATGCGCAAGGGAAGGTATAAAGTTGTGAAACATCCTGTACCAGAGCAGTCCCACTTCTGCCACATATCATTGGCTATGTGTTGTAACTGATGTTTCAGAGAGATAGCAGGTAACTTCTTGTAGGTGAGTTTTGAAGACAATGTGCAGGCTGACTTGGCCAACTTGTCGGCCAATTCATTAACTTCGTGGCCCTTGTGAGCTGGAATCCAACTAAACTGTAGGTTACAGTTTCTTCCCAGGTTTTGAGCAGCATTTATCACTTCAGCAGCTAGAACAGATGAGTTCTTTTGGTAGTTTAAAATGTTAAGGGCCACTTTACTGTCTGTAAAGATGTTAATGTTACCCTTATAATACGTATGGTGATTGTCTATGTGTTGGATTGCCTTGCAAATGGCCCATAGCTCGGCCTGAATGATGGTACAGTGGGCCGCGCCAACTTAAGGTGTGCCTGGTATGTCTTGTGACCATTCTTATGGAGGATAACAATACCAGACCCTGTCCCGTGTTCGCTCTTTGAGCCATCAGTATATACATACCAGTTAGTGAAATTGTGCATGGTTTTATCAAAGTTCATGTTTACTTCGTAATTGTTCATGTTACTTGGGTGTTGTTGGAATTCGTTCTTTGCAGGGATTCTGTCCAAATTAGAGTCTTTGATTTGATTTACAAGATCCAGGCAGCCTTCTGGAAGACCACTGTTAGCAATATAACGCTGTATTTTATTGTCTGTCCAGTTATTAAATTAAAGTCAGTCTTAGTGAGGGACCAGTACCAACCCATGTAGTTTCTTTGGATGTGTATGGGAGTTGACGAGGAGGGCATTAGTGACTGCCGTCCTATAGGATTTACATATTTTAATTGCAAAGCTCCTCTGTAAGGAGATGAGTTTACGTCGTACATGGGTGTTTCTTAGCGCCTCATACCAAACAGGTATAGCCGGTTCAATTGCTGCCTTGTAGATAAGGCGGCAGTTGGTTGGCAGTGGGCGACACATTTTCATTTCCAGAAGTTTGTCCACACGATCGGTGTCGCATTCACAGAAAACGTAAGAGAATTACAGTGGGATAATCCGAGTTCTGCCGTAATTGATTACGAATTTCACAGCTAAGGAACAATTTTTATGGTAACAATGGTACAATTTAAAGTAACCTTTAGTGCCTTGCGGGATCACCTGTTGTGCTGACAGTTAAATGGCTAAGGGGTTAAAGCAGTGGCCACCCGAGCTGCAAAATACGTGTTATAATAACAATTCACTTTTCATACTTTCGAAATATATTAAGAACTACATTAAAAAAAATCATACATCTAAAAACTTAAGCTTACATATTCAGCTAGGCCCGCAATGGGGGCGGCCGGATGACCAGGGATGGGGCCCGATATATCGGGAGGGCGAACCTAGAAAAATTTTTTAAACTTCGCCCCGTGGACACTAAGAAGGCCACGTAAGAGGCAAACCTATTACGGATTCGGCTACGCCCACAATTGGGCGGCCGGATGGTGAGGGACGCGACCCGACATATTTGGACGGACCGCACCCGAAAATTTCTGGGGATTTTTCGATCTCGGGTTCCTCAGAGCGATTAGGGTAGCAACCTACCGTTCCCTACCAGATGGAATCGGGATGGTTCGAAAAACCCCAAGAATTTTTCGGGAGTGGGTCCGTCCCGTCTCCCACCACCCGACCATCTTATTGTAGGCCTGTCCGAATTCGTAATGAGCTTACAAAATAGGCCCTTTTCGTACCTATAGAGCAGAAACGGTTCTTAAAAAGCTACTAGCTCTCCGACGGCGATCATATTTTATTGACGTTAGTAATTGCTTAAACAAGGAAAATATACTTTAATTGCTAAATGTTCATAAAACAAATAATGAATTTTTGGGGGTGGTCCGTCCAAACCCATAATGGGTTTGCTAAAAGAGACCCTTTTAGTTCCCACGGGGCGGAAAGAGTTAAAAAGAAAAAGTACAGTAGAGCCTCGATTATCCGACTCAATTGGAGACTGGGGTTGGTCGGATAATTGAAAAGTCGGATAACCGAAAAGTATGAAAAAATCCATTATTAGTGTAGTATATTATTATATCCCATGTAATTAGTATATTAGTATATCGCTATTAACCTACTTCGCGTTGAATTTTCATCGATGTTAAGCCTAACAAAAATTTTTTTATAATAATAATCGTCGCTATTGTATTGTTAAAAATTAAAAAATTAAGCCTCGTTTAAATACTGGCTCCCTTTCACGGTCGAATCAGTGTTGCCAGCTAAAACACGTAAAAATACTATTAAAGTAGCCAAGACGTAGCCAAATATTGTAGCGCCACATCACTAGCGGACATTTGTAATTTGCCGACTAGGACGGTCGGTTAACCGAGGTGTCGGTTAATCGAGGGTCGGATAATCGAGGCTCTACTGTAATTAAAAACATTCAAACTGGATAAGCGTTACAGGAAGAACTGATATGAAAAATAGATACGTTGAGCTATACAGTACTAACAAGTGTTTCGATAAGAGAAATTATAGAATTTCGCTTTGCTTCAATTTCATTTACCGAGAATGAAACTTTTTACAACTTTACTGATTTCTTTAATATCTTTATCGCCAGTTTATTGCTATAACGAAGGTTATTGGGGAGATTTTTTCTGTAGTAAGTATAAAACCAATATTTTTACTAAAGTTGTGTATTTGAGAATCTTGTTTAAATATTACTCTAAAATATTAACAGAAGAAGAAGTCGAGGAGAAAGAAGTATTTCGATGTTTGTGGCCGTATTTATCTTACGAATTTAGAGTAACGGTAAAGCTTTTGTTTCGTCTTATTAAGTATATTTAGACAGTGGGAAGCGATAAACCTGTCGCTTCGAAGGATCCACATTCGAGTTCGAATCGGAGCTCAGAAATTTTTATAAGCGATTTGATCCGAGACAGAATCCCATTGCTTCCATTACGGGCAGGACCGAACCTACGACCAGCGCGAAATACACTTAAAGGTGTAGAGTTAAAAAAGGAAACTTAAAATTTTAGCCGCCCCACTATAGGTTCGGGCAAGTCCACAACGGGTTGGCAGGGGGTGAGCTAAGTGGCACTCCCTAAAAACCTCGGGGCTTTTTCCGCTCATTCGATTTCGATCCCGGGTCCTCCGGAGCGGTGGGCTGATTAATTTAAACGATTAAATTTTTTTAAATCATATAATTTAGTGTAAATAACAAAAGCAAAATTATTTATTTACATAAAAATTACGTATATTATCGTCAGATGGAAACAATAATGAGATGCGCGGGACTTTATAATGTTTACGATTACTTGGAAGTCGTATGTAATCCAAGAACGTTCAAAAATATAGTGAGTTTGTTCACTCGATATTTTATTATTGATTAAAAATATAAAATTTAATAAATATAATGAAATTATTAAACTATAATAAATTTTTGTTTCTAATTAGGCGTTAAAAGTCCAAGACTGCCAACAATGGTACACGCCTATGACGAAATCTGTACGTATTGTTATTATTTTAAAGTATTCAATAAAAGCAGAAAATTACACACGCGCGCGCACATATAAATTATATTAAATACATATTTAAAAAATATACATCAATTTATTTCTATAGCCGGGTGAAGACGGCGATGCCGAAAGCTGCGGATTATTCGGTTCCGTCCACGAAACACCGTACGGATTTCGAATTGAATAAAAACGACAGCTTAAGTCGACAGACTGCGACTTAAAAAGTATAAATGCGAAATTTGTCTGCTTCAGAAAATCGATCTAAAATTTGCTTTCTTCCTTCTCCAAATTGATTACGAATGACGGGATCGTCGTCGTCCTCATTAGGTGGATTCTAATATTTTGAATACGAATTTCAATAATCCTATTGTACATGTAAATAAGGATAAATAGAAATAAAAATTTAAATATATATTTTTAGTCAATTCAACATCTTGTATAAACACTTGTGATTTTTATTTTCTGTGACCCTCCAAATCTCTGCGCCAATGTGTAGTTATTTGTTTCTAACAAGTTCTATACAATTAGTAATTAATACCCTTAAATTCGTAATTGTTGGTTTACGAATGGAAAAGCATCTTTCATCGAAAGCGTAAGACAAACTTATCGCGAGAATAACAAAGGTCGAGACAGATCCCATTTTGGATTCTCCTGGCCGAGAAAATCAATTGTCAGTGTTACAAAATATGAATTTTCGCGCTAATAAATTATAAAATTCTATTTTCATCTCTTAAAAATATCATTAACGATGATAAAAGTTTAAAAATTTCTTAGTAATGCATAAAATGAAGTATTATTATAGAAGAAAGGATTTTTATCAACTGGACGAAAGTAATAAACAGTTGGTTGAGTTTATAGAACTGGTTTATCTAAACATTTCCTTCGTTAATGGAATTACTGTATTGTTCAGATAACGCTATCTGTAAAAGAAGGAACTTATTAAATTTATATACCGTAACGCATTTCCTTTTCTTAAACGAAATCACTGGCAGCTCAACTGGGTTACTTTAAACAAGAAAAATGATTCAAAATTATTAGCGTCTTTGCATTGTCCGTCTCACCAATTTCAAACTAGAAAAAGGTGTAATACAGTAAAACCTGTCTATGGCGACCACCCACGGTTCTTTCAAAAAGTGGTCTTTTAGACAGGTGGTCGTCCAATACAGGTGGTGCTGTAATACCGTATATCCGTACATATTTTGCGCACTTTTTAGCCATTTCTACTAAGCAAAACTCGAGGCTAGCAAATATAAGCGAATTTTTTCAACGATAGGGCTATATTGGTATTGTATTTTATTCTTATCGGATAACCCGATTTACAGGAGTCTTCGTGATATTATAAGACAGATTTAACACCAATATTTTAAAGATTAATACAATACTCGCATTTTCTGGATTATAATGCACACTTTCTTTTTTCCGACTTAATTAATTCGACTCGGTTGTTTTCGTGCGCTCCTCAGTTACGTGTATTACGTCATCAATATACAACCGCGTCTATCTCTCCATCACTTTGCTTTTGGTTTTCGTTAGTTTAATCTTATTTTAACTTTAAAAATACTNAAATAAATAGAATAATAAACAAACAAATTGGAAATTATAGTTTGTTTTCAGATTTATTTAAAATTTAATAAAATTTCCATATTTTGATATAGGAAAGGAGAAAATGTTCATTAACATAAAAAGTTAACATTTAAACTAATACCGATTTAGTATCGTTAAGATATAGAATTATATCTGCATCGGGTAATAATTAGCCATTTTTCATTTATCAGTATGGTAGCACCAGGAAGAATATCAAAATTATACAAAAAAAGAAACCACACACTCAACTGCAGTAATAGTAACTTCAAAGACAAACATTTTTGTCCATCTTGATGGGCCTGCATCATGAGATCTTTATAAAATGAGGGAGAAAGCATAGATATGATTTTGAAACCATAAAACAACACTGCCTTATCCATGTAAGCCAAACAGCCAGGGATAGATGCTTTCTAATCAATGAGATGGACTTTCTAAATGGACCAAATCACAACTTCAGAAAAACTGGAAACTTTTAAGGCATTTATGAAGGAGAATGCATTACTTTTAAAGATTGCAAACTCATATCTACCTAGAAAGACTTCTCTGATAAGCCATTCTTAGTCTTTTCTGTGGAAAAGAGAACATGGGAAATTCTTTGCTTAAAGAAAAAACTAAAGTGGCCATACCCATCAAAGGAAGATAATCCAAAAAATGAAGATAGGTAGTTTTGAGCTGAATGTAAATATAAATGTAGAAAATATAAAGCCTCAAAATGTGGAAAAATCAAGATGCCAAAACAATGTAAGATAGAAGAATCAGATGTGGAAAGAAGCAAATAAAAAAAATATCGAGGCAGTGAAAGAAAGCTAAGACCATTCGAAAATACAAAACGGAAGAGGAAGAGGATCTAATTAAAAACGCCAAGGAGAAGTGATAACTAACACTTAGTTACATTGTTCTCTTTTAGTTTATTAATATTATAAAAAAATATTTCTTATAAAACTTTTCCAAAGGGCATCATCTATCATAAAATATAATATTTTTCTCAGTTTGAATATTATTATTCCAAAATGTTAAATTTATATAAAGAACACTGATGCATTCTATAAACTGAATATTAATTTGTAAAATGCAGTGTATAAGACCTGATTCAGGCCTATGAAGAAGGCTGAAAACATTTGTTTTTGAAGTAACTATTGCTGAAATTTAGTGTATTGTTTCTTCTTTCCTTATCGTACTCCCAGTTCAAATATGTATTGCATATAATTACTAAATGACCAAAAAGAATAATTTGTAATAAACATAGCAGAAACAAACTATTTTCCAATATAATGCAGAAAATTACACCTATTTATTGCAAAAATCTGAATATGGAAAACAGAATATTGCATTTATTCTAATAAACAGTGTGTCATCTAACTTTTCTTTTTTCAGGTTGCAACTATGCAGAAGGAATTCTTACTATTCGAGAATGACTATTATTTCTATTCATTGTAAATTGGACACAACTAATATTTGAGGCCAATTATTAATGAAATAAATCCAGCAACTTCTTTCATTTTATTATTATTTAAGCAATGATGTAACACACAACACATGTTAAAAGTGGAAACACTAAATACAATTTTCAATTTTTTGGTTTAAAATAAGTATAAAATTCCTCCAATAAGTACACTTACTATTAAAATGTCCTGTCTAACTTTTTCATCTTTCACCTGTTTTGTTTATTATAGGGCAATTAGCATTAGAGGCATTGTTTATTAGAATAAATATAGTATTTCTTAAACATATTATGGATATATAACAAAGTTATATCAGTTCTTTTTTTTTGTAGTAATTTCTATTATTTGAAAATTGTTTTCTAAGTCATTACAATTTAATTCAAAAAAGTAATTAGTCATAATTAAATTATTCATAAATCTAAACATTTCTATACATTTCGATAAACAAGTGAAGTTATTTGTACCGATAATAACTTGGCTTAATATGGTTAATTATTTAAAAATTATAGATATGTTAACTTGCCATCAAGGATCCAAAGATTTATCATTAATATTCATAGATGAGCATAAAATGCAATAATTAGGCTGAACTTGAATGATATTTACATTATAGATGTATTTTCAAGAAACTCAATATGAGGAAATCAAGAATAAATTGCCAATAGCAATATTACTAGTGACAGATGGATATGAAAAGGAAGACAAAGTTAACAACTGATTAATTAAGAAAATAGTGGAAGACAAACAGATGATGGCCTTCCATTTGAGGCAAGTATATTTATTATTATTGGTCATTTAATTAAATGTTTATAGTAGAGAAACTTCAAAGAATAAGGCATCATATTTTATGCAGCAACAATGGATTAATTATTAATAATTAAAATATGTCATAGACAATTTCTTGACTTGCGAAAAATCTTTAAAGTTTAAATTATTAATATTTTATAAAAAATTAAATGCTTNATTTCGGACATTTTCCAACAAACTGAAATGAATTTCCTTTGTTGCTAGACTAATTTATTAACACCTGCACCTAATTTCGAGGGTGGGAGAAGTGCCCGGGATGGGTTCGAAGGAGAGTTTAGACTAATTCATTATATTAGGAGGCGGAAACGTTGTTGAGATGGGCTCTTACAATAGTTTAGAACAGATACATTCGCAAAAGTGGTCACTTATTACGGGTGTTGTATGTTGCTTCGGACCAAAAATCGATGCCCGCGGTCGCGTTACACAGGTGGTCGTTTAATACAGGTAACTTATACGAAGACTCTATGGATAAACTATTCCGTGCCAGAAATTTTTGCCCGTTTTGACAGGTGGTCGCCTAAGCAGTTTTCACTGTATTCGATGTCTACCCGAAAACTGCCTTTTAAAAAATTTATACTTCTTATTTTGCGTTTTCTGTATATTTTGTGTAAACTTTATAAAGGCATTTAATCCTAACTAAACGTTGGACCATTAAATTAAGGGGTCGGAACCCAACCAATTTCTTTTCGTAACTCGATTTCTATTCTTCGAAACGATTTCGCAGAGAACAAAGAATTTAAAAGCAAAGAATTATATTTTATCCGCACGAAGATCTAATTTTTAAAATATTTATTGTAAAAATTACATCTTGGTGCAGATAAAATGTAGTTTACTCGACCTAAAATATAAAAAGGCAGATGATTTTAAAATTTATTTAATTAAAGATTTGTCGCTTTTAAATTCTTTGTTCTTTGCGAAATCGTTTCGAAGAATAGAAATCGGTTAGGTTTCGCAGTACTTCCCGACGGTCTTCGGTTCCGACCCCTTAAGGATCGATAAATTTATGCATAAACCTTTCGTTCTCAAATAAATTTTGCACATACAGTATATATATATATATACTCGTATTATACGTTACATTGAATTCTTAAAAGGAGTCGAGACACGATAATCTGGGAACCTCTGCTACGAGACAACGCAAAAAAGAACGGCTTTCTATTAGAAATTGGTCCATTTGGATGTTAGACGCGTAAAGAAAACTCGGAAAACTCCACGATTTCGGATGTACGATCGGAAATACCAGTGCATTTTTCTCACCTACTACGGAACATTTCTTTAATGACGAGTTTTTTGATTTTTTGCGCCCAGTAAATGACGACCAATAACTTTTTAATCGGAAAGGGAATATTTAAAATTTGCAAACCATAATGCATTCAAATTACGGTGTATATAATTGATGATATTTGATCGGCATCGTCTAAAAATGCCAAAGTTGGTGCGACGTGTAAGGGCGCCTTTGTGCCAAGTACTTTTCGGCACCGTTCG